TAACAAAAGTTTTAATTCCTCATTAAATTAATTTTTCATCACACGCTTTTTGAAAAAGGATGCTATAACTTCACATCCCACTGTAATGACTAAAAAAAAGGGGTTTGTAGAGGTAAATAATAGAAGAAAGCAAACTATAAATGATATAGTTGATAAATATGTACAGCAAGATACTATACTAACTTATACAGACTCTTGGGCAGGATATGATGGATTAACAGAAAAGGGATTTATTCATGACAAAGTAAATCATAGAATAAATTTATAGATCCTGACACTGTTGCAAATACTCGAAATATTGAAGACCAATGGTCGGTTTTAAAAAGATGCATTAGGAGAAATAACATAAATATTAACAAAGATATGAAATTAATAACATCAAAACATTTATTTATAAAATACTATGTAATTGAAGCTTACAATGTATTTTTAATAAATTTATTCAATTAGTTTTTATTATAACCAAATTTTGAAGAAAAAAAAGTTTTAAAAAAAACTTAATAATCCCTTCTCCTAGATTTCCTCTATTTTTTGAAAAATCATTTTATTGATCGAAGGGGGTGTAGTATCCTTTATACCTGCTAATTATTTATTATTAAAATTAAGAGATTGATGTTCATATTTTTTTCTGTCTTTTTAACCAATCAAAAATATGTATTTTTAAATCTCTATAAGTTTTTTTCTGTTTGGTAAATTTTAGGGGGTTTTGTCAGGGGTATGTATATAATAAAAATTTAAAAGCCACTTATAACAGACTTGAACTGATTTTAATACTATTACAATATTAATTTTTAACAAAGTTGTTTATTTATTTATTCAGAATGGCGGGTGCTCATGATTTTTTTATTATTAATATTACACTTTTGGAAAGAATCTAAAATTGGCTATAGGCGTATTTTTCGAGATTTTTTTCAAAAATGGAATATTATAAAAACTAAAATGGAAATCAGTTAAATACAATTTTTTTTAGAAAAAGTCAAAAATTGGTTATAGTATTAATTTATGCTTTTTTTGAATATAAAAAAAGGAGGTATTCATAAAAGTGTGATTGAGTCTACCCCAATGAAAGATTTACTACATTACATGATATACTTTAATTTTACAGTTAGAGTTTGTATCTATCTTTATGATATTCTTACAATTAATAAAAAAGAAGCAATAAACATTTATAAAGATACAGACATATCAGAAGAGAAGATAAAGACAGATTTATTTAAAAGGAAGCTTCAAAAAGTAACTTATATCTTTCTTCATTTTTTGTCATTTCTAATGGAGATAGCGGTTCTAAAATATAATTATTTTGATAAAATACAAACATTTTTAGAATCCAAACTTAGTCATAAAAGCAGTACTATAATTATACTTCTTATTTTTTATAGTTTAGTTGCTCCTATATTTTGTTTTACAACCTTTTTTAATATACTAAACACTATAGGTGGCAATTTAATAATATTTTTTCTTTTTTATGCCTTATTTTGGTTCTTTTTTCTATTCATTTATGTATTTATTATGAATATATATGTTCTTGCAGTTATTTCTACTATTTGCATTTTTTATCCAATATATGACATTTTCTTTGGAAATCCCGATGTGGCTGTTAAAAATATTGATTTAAAAATTAATAAAAAAACAAGAGATATGTTAGGATCTATAGAAGTTTATGAATCACCTACGGAATTTTCTACTTTCACTACCTTCAGAACTATTAGTAAAAAAGTAATATTAATTAAAAATTCTGAGGAAATGGAAGACCATAACGGAATCATTTTATTTGGTATTAACTTTATTAATTCAGGGTATAATTTTATTATCGATATTCTTTATTCAGTATTTAATTTATTAATTGCGCTGTTTATTGGCTATTTTGGAAATATGTTTGATCTCATGATTTATTACGATTTCACTAGTATAACAAAAAACATGATTTATATATGTTTAATGTTTAACATTGCGTTTAAATTGTTTTTTCCTATTAAATTTTATATTATTTCATTGTTATATTCTGACTCTGATAAATTTGCAGCTAAAAACGGTGGAGGTGATGGCTTAAGAAATCTATACATTAAAAAAGGAATAGAAGACGATGAAAACATCGCTAATAATGGTTATTCCAATTATCTAGAATCTATTATGAATGATGTTTTTAATAAAGTGAAGCTATTAAATGAGAACATAAGTGGTGATGTTGTTTAGATTAAACAATTTTTATTTATATTAAAGGTTTTAGTTATTTCATTTATATTTCTTTAGGGAAGTAATTAACGAATAGACTTTCCTTTGAGTTATATAACATTGATAACTTGAAAAGGAGTAAAAATGTTTATAATATTTTATTTATTACAATTTTTGTCTTATAAAAAGAAGATATGAGTAATTTTTATAAATTCAACATATAACTCATATTATAAACATATTTAATAATTACTAGACATTAAATAATATAAAGAAGAGACAAAGCTAATCTTTATTAATTTTCTGTTCATAATTGAAATTTAAATTATAATTTGTGTTAGAACGAATAACACACCCCTCAACGAATAAACACCCCTAGTTTTCCTATTAATTTACCACAAAAAAAATTTTTTTTAATTATTTTTGAACCCTTTTTTGTTATTTTGGTAAGGACGAATAAACGCCCATACCAAAATAGCACAAATCGCTTAGGGCGGGATAAGTAAATTAATAGGATTTTTGATTTTTTTGTCAAACATTAACGAATAAACGCCCCTATCAAATTACCACAAAAAATTTCTACTAATTTAATATAAAATTTTTCAATAAATATTTTTAATAGGGATTTGTCTACGATTTTTTGATTTTGTAGATCATCTTTAATAGTGAAATTGTTATTAGAGATATCAATAACTGTATAAATTTCACTATAATATAATAAAACTAAAGGATGGCGTCTTGTATTTATATTTGTACTAAAATCCTTTGCAAGAATACATTTATCTGCTATATTTAATTCTCTATTATCTCTAATTCGTCTATTATGTTCTTTAGTGTATTGTCTAACATAATTTATGATCTATCTCTTGCTAACTATAGAACATCCATATTGTCAAAATTAACATTGTTCGGATCTTTTCCTCTGAACAACACATAAGGTTTGAAGGTTGTAGCGCTATTTATTGTATTATTATATTGATAAACAATATCATCATGTAAGTTAATCCATTTTTCTGTTCCTTCTAATCCTTTCCTTAACCTCAGTTTTAGGGTTCTATTAAGCCTCTCTATTACTCCCTGGTATTGAGGATGTTTGGGTCTACCTGTTATGTGAGATATATTATATTTACTACATAATCCAAGCATATTATTATTTATAAACTCACGACCATTATACGTATGTAGTATAATCCATGGTCCTTCAATTCTGAATATATTTGCAAAAATATTGTATACTGTTGAAGCTTGTTTATTTTTTAATTTTTAGCTGAATACATATTTTGAGAAACAATCTATCAAACTAAGTATGTACTTATATCCTTCATTAAGCTCTGCATATCTAGATAAATCGATTATATCAGCTTGTAATCTTTCATACACACTATATACGACTATAGGTCTAATTGGCGCATACTAGATATAGGGACTACTTTCTGACATCATTCACATGATGAAATATAATTTTTTATATAAGACTCTGTAATATTAATATAGTGGGCTTCTATATTCTGCTTTATTTTTCTAGAACAAGCATGGCGTGGTAAATTAAATTGTTAGATTATAGTGTTTCTTCCTTCTTCATCATAGCTGCTTATATACTTTCTGATTTCTGGCCCTTTCTTTAAATATAACTCATTGTTTTTTATTAAAAACTGTTGTGCTTTGGTTTTAAATGTACGTTTTTGGTATTTACTAAGACCATTAGGGTATATCGTATTTCTTAAATAAGCAATTAATTGATCTTTTTCGGTAGAAGTATTAATATTAGGAATTTTTGGCATGGGACAAAAAATGTCAAAAACTTTTAAAACATTATTTTTACTATAAAGATCGTATCAAAACAATTAAATATATGATATATCACAAATGTACAAAAAATAATAAATAAATTAAAATTGTTATAGTTTTAAGAATTGAAAAATGTATTGATATAATACTTTTAAATAAAGGTAATTTTTTAAGATTACCTGACAAATTTATTGATTAATAATTAAAAATATTTAAGGAAAAATTTTATATTTAATTATTAGGAATTTTTTGTAGTAATTTGGTAGAGGCGTTTGTTCATTGTTTTTTGACAAAAAAATCAAAAATCCTATTGATTTACTTATCCCCACCCTAAGCGATTTGTGCTATTTTGGTAGGGGTGTTTATTTGTCGTTACCAAAATAACAAAAAAGAGTTCAAAAATAATAAAAAAATGTTTTTTTTGTAGTAAATTAATAAGAAAACTAGGGCGCGTTTATTCTTTGAGGGGTGTATTGTTCGACCCTACATTAAATAATATAAAGAAGACACAAAGTCAACCTTTATTAATTTTCTATTCATAATTAAAATTTAAGCTATAACTTGTTATAAATTTATGTTATATTATCATAAATTGCTAGTCTAGCCATTAATTCAGTTAAGCAAGAGATATACTTATATTTTAAATAAGATAGTATTTAAAACTAAATACTTCACTAATTTTTAATTCTCTTTGGTTATAGAATTTATTTTCAACTTGTATTTTTTTAAGTAAATTTTATGATATAAATGTTTCAGTGGAAATTATTCAATAACTATTTCTTATAAACTTTTGTCTTTTGTCAAATAAGTAAAAACTGACGTGTAACCACCAAATGGGAATAATTTATCAAAAAAATGTATAACATAATATTTTAATTTAAATAGTGTTTCTAGTAATTTAGCTAAATTGAAAATAGAATAATTATTTTTTAAACAAATATTTATAAGATTGAAGTATATTTTGATGAGATATAAAAATCAAAATTGTCCTTTTACAGAAAAAGTATAAAGTATAGAAACTTATAGCAGCCCATGCTAATCATGTTTAATCTATTAAGCACTGTATTCTCAGCTGACTCTGTAGAAGTGTCGCTTCACAGTTTAATTAATAAGAAAATACAAAGTCTAGGCGAACAATTGATTGAAAGAAGTCAACTTGTTGAGGATACCTCAATTAATCCTCAGGAATTAATTGAAAAGTTTATGAGTTATGATAAAAAAGTGTTTTTGAACCCAAATAGCCTAGAAAAGGAAGAGATAATCATTAAACAATGTTTCTTAATTACCGCAATAGAAGATACGCTAAATATGCTTAAAAAGGAACAATATGCTGAGTTAGAGAATTTTATTTATTATTTAGATAGCAAACTTTCAGATCCAGATACTTTTGTTCATAATAAACCATGGATTTTAAATGAAAACCATTTACAAAGAAAAGATGATAGTATTGATTCTAAAAAAAAAACTAGAAAACTAAAAGAAACTATGCAAAATAAGTCTAAATTGAGATCAGAAAATGACTCGATGTTTGATGAATCTTCTAAATCAATTCATGTCAAAAATTTAAGGTTAGGTAAGATTGTTATTCGGAACTTCCATTGTAATTCCATATTCAACGAAGAACCTAAAAATTCTATAGGAAAGGAGATTTTAAGTTCATTGGAGGTTGATATAAATCCCTCTTCCGAAGATGAATATTCATCTAATACAGTTGATTCTACAGAGCTATCTTCAGATGATAAAGATATATCAAGAACTTCTAAGCAAACAGACCAAGATAGTAGCTCTAGTGATGATGATTACCAAAAGGAAGATCTAGAAGAAGGAATTAACAATAGTGAAGAAACCAAACCATTGCTAGAGGACTTTAATAGGGAGTTCAAAGAAAACGGTGAAGTAGTTACGAAGTATTACACTAATAATAAGTATGAAACACTAAAAGAAGATGAAGCTTGTAATAGTACTAAGCGAAATGATGAAAAACAGCCAGAAACCGAAGTTATAAAGTCTGGTTTGAATAAAGAAAATGAACGAATAATTTCAGAGTCGCATGAAATTAATAGTAATTGATTTAATCTTCTAATTAATTAAAATTATTAATGGAAAATGTAATTTAATGTAGTTTTTAATAGTTTTAGATTTTATTCGTGCCTTTTGTTGATTTTATTAAATCAATATCCTATTGGTTAAATACATCCTCTATATAAATAAGTTACTTTTAATCACCTTTGATGGTCTTAGTTAATATAAAACTAAACTTATGATAAAATAGAGTGATTTTAAGGAACTAAAAAAATGTTACCAAAAAGTAACAACAATAATCTGACTGTATATATAAATTAAAAGCGCTCTTTAATTATTAGGATATATTGAGTATAATAATAGCATTTCTATTATTTCTATTTCGAAACTCTTGGAAACATAAAATTCTTTATTTAATATTAAAAAAATTCTATTTTAGGATTATCACTATTTCTAACTTAAATTAAGTTTATATATTGCAAACTATAAATAAACAATGAATACTGTTCTGCAATAACCTTGAACTTTAGTGAACCCCTCATTTCATCTCTAATGCCTTAATTTGGTGCTTATTTCAAATATTTGTTTTATTATCAAATTCATTTAATAGGCTTTTTATAAAATGTGGGAAAATTATAAATGTTTTGCTATAAATTTCACGACTTTGACCTATTTTTTTATTAGTTTAGCCCCGCAATTCTGACGAATTAAGAAAAGTTTTATGAATAAAAAATCAAAAAAGTCAATTTAAAGCTATTTTCAACAAAAATATAGTTTAAAGTTTTCTGTTTAGTTGTTTAACATATAAACCGATTATTTTTTTTGAGCTAATAAAAATTATAAGTCATTGTTCAATTTCATAAAAAAAAACTTAAATAGATATTTAGTATAAATGAGAAATACCACTTTAATTTAAAAATAATATAAATTTACTGATATCCCGACAATTATTAAAAAATCAAAAGGTCGATCTCTTTGCATTAAATACTCTTGAAAATAGATTTTTAAGTGGATAATATTCTGTTTTTCCATTTAAATAGTTTTTATAATGTTCTACACCATCCTTGTAAGCTCTTATATATTTTTTTTTATACTTGATTTGCTGTTTATCTGAAACTTTTATCGCATTTAATCTTACCATATTATGACCGTCGAGCTCTTTAATGTTAAAAGGTGGGTCAACATCAGCATCCGTTGAATCTGAGTAATCCACAATCGATTTCATTGTTCTTTCAATAATACATTTTATTGTTTTTGTTTCTGGAAAAAAAGATGTCATTAATTTATCACAAATAGTAAGACTTAGCTTATTTTCTACGATTAAACTACCTAATAAATAAACGTTATAGTCCAAATGAATAGTAAATCCATATAATGGTTGGCCTAAATAATTATAATCATAGATATTATATGTAATGATCTCCTTAAAGTATTTGATGAAGGTGAAAGGCGGGGTTAAATGCTGGATAATATCTATATCGTCAATATATTGCTCAACATCACTATGTACCCCTGTTGGTGATATTAAGTTTACGGCATTTGACACTATTTTATCATTCTTACAAATTATACACTCAATTTCTGGATTTTCTGTAGAAAAATAAAGAGGATTAAAATTTAAAATACATGGCTTGGCATGGAATTTATGTTTACACGAAAATATTACCTTGAATGTATCATCTGTAAAATGCTTGTTACAATAATCACACATGTTAATACTCAATGCATCATTTAATTGCTTCAAATCATATAAAACATTCCTTATTGTACCATCTTCTTTTATATGATCCGTATATAAATGAAATTTCATTGAATTTTTTAAAGCGGATAGACTCTTAATGACTTCATCAACTTTCATACTATTAATTTTTCGAACTAATACATATAACCTCTTTTTGAAGCTAGATAAATCATCTCTAAACATATTCAGTCTTAAATACAAAATATATTCATCATATAAAGAAATTATATCATCACTTCTATTCCCAAGTCGCTCTTTCAGTTCGTAATTGTCTAATGCTTTTTTTAGAAACTTCATCTTAATGTTTAGATCGGCCACAAGCTTTTCTTCACTTTGCTGAAATCTTTTTGTTTTTAACTCTAGCGTCGAATTCATATCTTTAATTCTCGAAAAAACATGCGCTTTGTTATAACCAATTAAAAAGTTAATCATATAATTAAAGAAAGAAATCATGGATACAAAAATAAATTCTTTTAAATTTTGTTAACACGTGTTTTTACTCTGTTTGTTAAAAGTGATAAATTGTTATAAAAACTCTTAATAAAATAAGAAAACATCTTACAATATTGAATCTATTAGCCTTTCTTATTAAATATAAAAAAATAGGCTCTAGTCAATAAACAATCAACACTCATTTATATATTTTTAGTAACGTTATATTTTTGATCAACCTTCCCTAAATAGCATGGAATTTGGAAATTAGTTTACAACTTGTTTTTCACCAGAACCTCCATATTATTTAAATATTAGAATATTTATTGAAAATCATTTTACGCTTTATTTCAACTAAAGTCATATTTATTTACAAAAAGGAGATCTTTTTTCTTAAGATGTAAAAAGCTAAAAGTTTTACAAATATTAGATAAATAGATGTTTTGATAAACTTAAGCTTTGTTGAAACCAATCTAAAATTTAGTAAATATAAATTTTAAAATTTTCTTTCTATTATTACACTATTGAAAGTGAAGTTAGGTATTCTAAAAAAAAAGCTTCCAAGATTAAAATAACTAAAAAGAGTTTATTGAATATCATATAATACATATTTGTTTTTATACAAAATTTTCTATAAATTGAATTCTCATTCTATATTAGTATAAGTTTTATATAAAAATCCCCTCTTATATTGGATAAGCACTAGTTACAAGAAATAAAATATTCTGTTTTAAGATTAAAGTTAGAGAAATAATAACATTATTAGTAATAGCAACGAAAAGACAGCGTTTTTTAATCTAAAATCTAGATATCATCTCAAAAAGTTATAAAATAGGAATTATCGAAAGAATACCGAATTCTAGTAGAAGAAACTCTTTTTTCGTATATCTATAAAGATTTTATTAAGGACCGTTTAAAAAATTCACTTTTGTCATCAAAATAGGTGTTAAAATTTATATCAGTCAATGTTTTTACAAATACTATAAGAAAAACATTAAATAAGCTCCAGTACTAAACATTATTTATCTAGATTAATCAATCAATACGGGAACCATTAAGGGAGTAAAGACTAGATATTAATGAAACAATGTTATATGGGGATAAATTTAGATTCCTACTATGTGAATGTGATAGAAAGGAGTTGTTATGAATAAAATAATAAGAGGTTTAAAACCCAAAACGATTTAATCTAAACAAACCATACTTTTGAAGAGAAATTAATATACGGGAATGTATGTATTAAAAGGCCTAGGAAACCATGTCCAGAACATTTCAAATTATACTATCTTAATATTAAAAATGCATTGATAAAGGCTAATCTAGCAGATTTATTTTTCAATAAGACAATACTTTTTGTCACGTGTCTAAAGTCAAAAAACAACTTAAAAAAAATGAAATAGGGGAAATAAGCTTTTTCATAAGATCACAATATCTAAACCTATAGATGTTATTTTTTTGAACTATTAGTAAAAGTAAATTGAAAAAGTACATAAAATCACTGATTATATCAGATATGTAAACTAACGAATTATGGAATAATACAATAGAAGAATTCAAGTCTAAATATTTAAAATCAATAAAAATAGTTTTAAGCTACATTAACAAATAAAATACCTTTAATTAATTATTAAATATAATTTTCTAAATCCTATAATTTTTTTCACAAAATATCTAAAAATTATAAAAAAAAATAAAATAACAAACATTTATTATAAAACATCCAATAAAACTTTATCAATTATATAAATTCATTCTTTTTATAGTATTTGTTTTTCAGAGAATCATAAAAAGATAAATTTTTTAAAAAAATTATATAAATTTATATTCAATTTTATAAAACAATTTCAATATTAAAGCTTTTTTAAAAAACAATTTTATTTTCAAAATTGAATCTAAAAAAAACACTTTTAATAATTTTTTTACAAATTTTCTGTAAATTCTAACAATTTATCCACCTGTCTAGCTTCAACAATATTTTCATCTTTGACATTTTCACTAATAATTAAAGCTTCCATGCTTTGATCTATATTTCCATGAATTTTACCATCTAATATTAATAACCTAAGCTTATTCTCTACTAAGCTTTTATCAAAGTTTAGTTTATCTGCGATAAATTGTATCTTAAGTTGTGAATAAGGTTTGACTATTTTTAAAATGTTAGCATTTAAGGTTAAGTCGTATAAATACTCTAAATGTTTCTTTAAAAAGTCATCTAAAATTTCATAATTCTCACTTAAAAGTTCATTAAAACTTTTAAGATTTTTATTTTCACAAGATTTTTTAATTTTCATCATAAATTCTATTATTTTTTCATTTATGCAAATTCTATAATTTTTATTTTCAAAAATTCCATTAATTTCTTCAAATTTTTTTAAAATAATTTTACATAAAATTAAGTAACTCAAACATTTCAAATATTCATTATTTTTATAGTCTTTTGAGATGTCTAGAGCTTCTAAAAAGTAGGCAGTTGCAGCCAAATAGCTTCTATCATCACAAGAGTACATACCACTCCTCATATCTATCTCTGACATAATCTTAGGATTATACAAACCTAGTGCTAATGCTCTCGCACTTGTCAATGCACTTTTAGCTTTTGAACTGTTTTTAATAGAATAATAAACCTTACTTTCAATTACATACAAAGTTATTAACTTTATTTTACATCAATCTTCTTTAATTTTTTTACTAATTTTTTAGTGACTCTTAAACATTTCCTATAGTTCTTATTAAGCATTAACAATTCACAAATTTTTATTTTAACTTCATTACAAATAAATTTTCTTTTATGCTTTTTTAAATATTTTTTTAGTTTTTTTAAAAATTCTAAAATTTCATCTTTTGATGACTTTTTTAAATTTTGTTCTTCAAAAAG